TGTTGTTTAACCGTTGAGGTAAATGCTGGTCCTTTGTCCGAGTCTATACTCACCGGACATCCCCAACGAGGGATGATTTCTTTTGCAAAGAATCTTTTTTTTCTTTATTTCATCTCTCACTACCTGCCAATCCCTATTCCATGGAACTGTGCTATGGTAAGAAAAGCACTGTGAGGTGGGAGTCCCATTATACCTCCCTTTGACATTAGACCATTTACGTCTAATATCAACCCTTTTTGTTGCCAGTGTTTTACATCCTCAGTTGCTGTTTATTGCAGTTCTTTGAGAGAATATTCCAGTAGCATAAGTGGTTCTAAAATGGCCAATAGACATTAGTAAGAGTTGTTGTTGTAAAGTGGCATTCTTAGCAGTGCAGTCAGCAAGTGCATTGCCTTTGGCTACAGATTCAGCGGAAGATGTGTGTGCCTTACATTTGATTACCGCTATGGACCTAGGTTTATGAATGGCATCTAAAAGATTATTTATTAGGTCTGCATGTGATATTCCTTTTCCATTTGCAGTAGTGAATCCCCATCTCTGCCAAAGTCATGAACAACCCCAAAAGCATACCTAGAATCGGTATAAACATTTACATCCTGATTCTCAAAAAGTTCACAAGCTCTGGTTAAAGCTATCAACTCTGCTGCCTGTGCTTACTTTTAAAGGATGGGTAGTGCCTCAGCAATATCCAGTAACTGAACCACTGAATACCCTGTTAAAAAGGTATCATCTGAAGGTCTGGAACAAGAACCATCTACAAATATGTCCAGAGCCACCGGAATGGGGGTTTGTTGCATGTCTATTCTGGGAGTAGTGTCCTCATGTATTACCTGGACACAGTCCTGTTCCTCGGTGGGATTATCAGTTTCACCCTTTATCCCTAACAAACAATTTAGCATAGCTAAGGGACCCGAATTATAACCTGCATATGTAATCCTCCATGTTCCTGACCTACCACAGCCACTTTGGTTTTTGGTTTTACAATTGAAATAAGTAATTCACGTACTGGAGCAACATGGAACCATGGCTGGTTGCCCAACCCTTTAAGGATTCTCAGAGGGCCATGGAATATACAGCCAGAGAATCCAGGTAGCCTTAGAGCAATCTGGCCCATGTTAACTGTTTGCCAGCCAAAGTGAAAATTACCAGTAGTTGTATCTTTTTGTCTGGGACGGGGAAAAAAAAAAGCATAGCTTAAATCAATCACAGTGTAACACTGTGTATTGTGTGGAATGGAGGTAATCAATGAGGTCACATCTGGGACAATGGGTGCTATTCTCCTCTTCCTCTATTTCTGTGTAATCTCTTTCTCTAGGATTGTAACTATGTTGTAACCCCTGAAAATATACTTTGTTAGTAGATTTGTGGACCTCAAAGCATCCAGCGGCGTCCTCCATCACTCGTTTTTCAGATGTACTTGCATCCATCTCTGTCCATTCTGAAATAAAGTTGCTGTATTAACAGCGACATTTCAGGTCTGAATCCTGCCATCAAGGTTTAAATATATATAGTGCTAATTTCTGCACTAGTCATATCCATCCCAGCCTTTTCCTTCCAGACTTTTCTAAATCTTTTTGTATACTTTGACACTGTATCCATTTGTTCCTTGTTTACAAGCTACAGCAGTTGCTAAAGATTTTGTACCCTTCCATACTGGCTCCATCTCAGTTGTCACCTCCTCCCACACCTTTTTCTGAGTGTCGTCCTTCAGCCATGCATGAGTGGATGCCAGGGATCCAAGTTCAACTAGAGTATTTATGCTAGGCACCTTTGTCCAGTCAAACCCTGAGTTCATGGCATATCCCAAAATTCCTTCAATTATTAATTTCATGTCCTGTTGTGAGCACTGTCTGCCTCGTGTGGCTCTCTTTAAATTTATGCAGACAGTTGGATTCTTTCTGGGATCTGAACTTCATATCCCATTCAGGGTCCCCTGAATACCACAGGAAAGCTTTCTTATCTCCCAAACACAGTGCCATTATCATATCCATATGAAACTTCTCATTAGACTCATCTCTAAGAAAGGTACTACTGCTTTTCCATGCCCAGGGACCACTTGGTAATATTCTGTATGAAATGGACCACATAATAATCATCCCATCGCGATCCCTTATCGCATATTCCTTACAAGTTAACCTAGACAATTCAGGATTTTCTTGTCTTTCTTTCTCTTAGCAGTATGACTTAACACTTTAAGCTGAGGCTTAGGATGTTGGGCAGAGGTCCCTTACGGTGAACTATACCCATCTTGAAGCAAAACTGCTGTTAGGCAAAACACTAAATATTACAGTGTCAGTGTTTATTCTCTTCACTGGAGAGGCTGTACTGTACTCATGTAGAGCGCCGACAAAACCTTTCAGCAGTTCAGGAGTGTAACACTTAAAAGTACAGACACTGCAATAACCTTATTCTGTTGCTTTCAAACACACCTTGCTTTCACCAGATCCCAGTCACAGGGTTTTATCCCTCGCAGGGAGGCGGTGTAACGTTTCACTTTTACAGCAAAATATTCTACTTACAGTTTCTTAACATGCAGCAGCTAAGCACTTATACTTTTAAAATGGCAAAGATAAATGAGGACTCCTGTGAATTCACAATATTTTTATTCTTTCCTAGGCAATTTTTTCTCACAGGTTTAAAACCTCTGACTATTTCCTTTTGAGGTTCCAAACCTCAAACAATCCCTGTGAGACCCAGCAGTCTCAAACTGTTAATTTGGGCTGCTATATACCTGGGTTTCAAAGGGGTATGTTTAAGGTAAAATCTAAGGCTTCTTGCTTAGCTTACCTGATCGGCCGCACCTTTCAGCACAGAAGTGTAACAGCAGTTTTTCTGAAGTTTAAGGGTTCATGTACACTGCAGCTGATAAACTCACATTTAGGAGCTGTTCAGCGTTTTTTTTTTTTCAGCAGCCCCTGAACTCTCCCTAATGTTTTCCTATGTGTCCATGTACACATCTTCGTTTACAGGCATTTGAGTTTACAGTCGTTTTTTTGAACGCAGAAAACTTGCGTTCAGCAGTTGATTTTTATCAGCATTTCAAATGCAAAACGCTTGTAAACGCGGCAAATCGCGTTTATAAGTGTTTGCGTTTTTACATTTTTTTTTTTTTAACTCTTCCAGTTCTCAATGCTGGCCAGAGCTTTTTTTCATCATCAAAAATGCATGCAAAGTGTTTTCAAGGTACTCAGATGGACAAAACACTGAACACCAGGATGTTCCTACCAAGCTTGTCACACATTGTAATGAACAATTCACACCTCAGTTCTCTCCCACCCTTGGAAACAAAAGATATGTTAATGGCCATTCACACCTCAAATTCCTCATGCAGACCCCCTGTCATTGGTGGCCTTAATGACTCTTTCCACCAGACACCTTTCCCTCTCTTGGAAACAAAAGAAATGTTAATGAGCAACTCACACCGAAGTTAATCTCAACACATACTTCTTTCTCTGCTTTTACTTTGTGTATTTCTCTGAAACAGTCTGAAATAGTTAATAATTTACCACTTTTCAGTGCATTCTGGGCATTTGGGAGGTTCTCCTGTGCTTATCTTTAAAAAACGCTTCTAAACGCAAACGCACATAAATGCGTAATGCTAACGTGGCTAAACAGACTTTTTTTTTAACCTACAATTTCCATCAATTTCTATCGTTCAGAAGTGTCCTGTGTACATGGGGCCTAATAAAAAGCAAGGGATGATATACAGAAACTCAACAGGCGTTGCTTAATCAGGTTAACCAATGAAACATTACACTCTTATCAGTATAGCTATGTGAGAAGCAGAAACTGCAATAGCAGAGGGGCACCATATAAGGTTAACTTGTTTCCAGAGAAATTAAAGCAATTCCTGAGAAACAAAACTTAAGCTGTTACAAATTCAAGATGGAGGCATTATATAAAATTAATGGCAGTTTAAAGATCTAATTCCTTACAAGGATAGGCAACCTTCAGAACCTGTCGGTCAAGGAACCCTTCCTGGTGGTATTAGAGGACAGGGTAGTGCTTAGACAGGATCCTCTTTGCCCAAGGTGCATCACGATTTCATAGGACACAAGAGATTGTCTTACTGTCCTTTTGTCAAAGAATGAGAGGGGAAACAGAGTTTTAATTTTTTAGATGTCAGGCGGTGTTTTTTGACATGTTTGAATAGAGTAAGTGACTTCAGGAAGTCGAGTCACTTTTTTGATTTTTGCATAGCGGCTTGAGAAAGGGACAGCAATCATCTAAACCGAAAATAGCTAGATGGATCAGACAAGCCATCTCCTTAGCTTATGAGCAGTCAGGGGTTTTTAGTTCTTTTACACCTGAGGGCTCACTCTACTAGATCGCTGGCGACCTCTTGGGCAGAAAGGGTCGGAGCATCGATTGAACAGATCTGACGAGAAGCCACATGGACAAGCCAGGATACCTTCATGTGACACTACAGGGTAGAGGGTAGAGCTGTTGTCAACGCAGGACCTGGCATTTGGCAGGAAAGTATTACAGGCAGTGGTCCCACCTTAAGGTAGGACTAAGTTCCTTGCTTCTCAACTCAGGTGTGCCGCCCTGGAAGATAACTGGAGAAAAGTACCATTTACACTTACCAGTAACAGTGTTTCTGGGAAATCTTCCAGGACAGTAGGCCTACTTCCCACCCATGTATGGTGTTGATAGATTTGAGGCAGAATACCTTTTGTGCACCAGGGTGCAGGAATACTGCTTGCAAAAACTGAGGAGTGAAGGAAAGGTCGGGGAATTTAAACTGTCAATTTTTGATTGTGATTCCTGTCAAATGGAGCTAGTCATCTCTCAGGTGTGCCGTCCTGGAAGATTTCCCAGAAACACTGTTACTGGCAAGTGTAACTGGTACTTTTTCATTTTGGACAGCTTCATATATTACTATAATATATTCATATATTACTATAATATATTACTTCATATAATTTTATTTTTTTTTACCAAAAAAATTAATTTTTGTCAGTACAGTACAGTAATGCTTGTCTCCTCTTGTGTTTTAGGGAAAAAGTGGTGAGTCCTAAAATGGGGGCTGCAGTGTCTGCTGTTGCCTCAACTTTTCCAGGCAAAGAAAAATATCAAGTGGAATCTGAGCTTCTGCAGCAACTGCGCGTACACAAAGAAATGGCCGAAAAACAGAGAAAAGGACAACTGAACATCAGGTTAGCAGTAGAGTTTATTGGTTTCCAGGGTACCTTTTTTTTAAATCTGATTTTCGTTGATTATTTTTTTCATAGCTTTAATCTAACCGTACAACAAAACATTGCAAAAACAACACAGCAGTAAGCCAAGTAAAATCCAAATGTAACCCCCCCCCCCCCCCCAAATTGCTTGTCTAGGGGAACCTTAATAATCAGTTACACCTTATCGCTCACTTGACGTCGACATCATCGTGCACAATCCAGGACCAGCACTCCTGCATTGTGAGTGAAGATGCAACCTGGAGCCTCAATAAGAACTGCCTCAAGGTGAGTATCACTGCTTTTTATGTTCTGCCTAGACAGGAAAAAAATGAGCATTAAAACTTGGATTTTACTCAATGTTCAGCTTTAAAATACAATAATGTAAAGGTGTGCAATCAAGAGAATGAAAGCACAATGGAAATATTTATTCCAACAGAGGTTACATACAGCTAAAAAAAAAAACATGCATTTTAAAAGAGAAGGGCTGAAACAAAGTTAAAGGACTCCATTGCTCACGCAGTTTGTAACCCCTTCAACGCAATAAAGGCATAACCGTTTATAAGGCATATGGATATACTCGCAGGCCACTTTATTAGGTACACAAAAAAGAAGGGTTTGTGAAAAGGAATTCACAGAAAAGCGGCTACATTATGAACAGAATGTGATACTCAGAAAAATTTCCAAAAATTATGCTTTATTACATATAAATATTTGACATATGGGCAATCGCCCTGGTTTACCTTCACCTCAGTATGAGACAATACACACAGACCTAAAACCATATAAAATAACACCAAGACCGGTCTGGATAGATGTGCTGCAAAGACAATGACCACTAAAGTCTAAAGTCTTTGTAGCACTGGCACATAGGTTAACACTTCCCAAAGGAGTTGTACACAAAAATTATACCATAGGTATATAGTGTCACATGTAATAAATATAAAGACATGTGTCATGACCATATAGGTTCTATCCCATAGAGGGGAATTCCCAAAAATTATACCAAAGGTATGCAATATCACATGTATACAATGCAGCAAGCACAGTGTGCGTCAAAAGAGAGGCATAACCATAAGCCTATGTTAGGCAGCAAAAGGATATCACAAATGAAATGCAGTACAGTCCCATGCCGGCACATGTGGTTGGGGCCCATTCATCTGTAATATAAGTGACTGATTCTTAGGACTTTTAGATATAAATAACGCCCCAGTTGTTGCCTGGATGGAGAAACAGATGCAAGTAGCAGAACACTGCTTCAAGTGATTTCTTCACCACAGCATGTGGACTACACACCACTTTTTGTTGAAAACAAGATAAGGCCCAGCGGCTCCTCCGCCCGTTGAAATATATGTGGCATGCCTTGTTTCCTACATAAAGCACCATAATGTCCCCATCCTGTAGTAAGACAAACAATATGAGGGAAGTCACTGTAAGAGCTTTCACTCAATAATAGACGTTTATGCCATATAGGTCACAAGGGACCTCAAATCTAGTGTCCTGTAACAGTCCACTCACCACCTGTGCAATGGGTAGTAGGAAAGAAAAGGATATCCTTCATAAGTACTGCCCTTCAAAAGGTACTGCTGTATGGAACCAAGGAACCACCGCTAACACCAGCCGACATACCGCGGGTTCCGACCTCTCCATGGCGCCTAAGTATGCCTCATGGCATGTGAAGATGGCTACCTCCTTGTAGGTCAGCGTGCGTTCCACCTAGTGCGCATGACCGGAAGTGACGTATCTGACGTATGACGTTATGGTGCTTTATATAGGAAACAAGGCATGCCACATATATTTCAACGGGCGGAGGAGCCGCTGGGCCTTATCTTGTTTTCAACAAAAAGTGGTGTGTAGTCCACATGCTGTGGTGAAGAAATCACTTGAAGCAGTGTTCTGCTACTTGCATCTGTTTCTCCATCCAGGCAACAACTGGGGCGTTATTTATATCTAAAAGTCCTAAGAATCAGTCACTTATATTACAGATGAATGGGCCCCAACCACATGTGCCGGCATGGGACTGTACTGCATTTCATTTGTGATATCCTTTTGCTGCCTAACATAGGCTTATGGTTATGCCTCTCTTTTGACGCACACTGTGCTTGCTGCATTGTATACATGTGATATTGCATACCTTTGGTATAATTTTTGGGAATTCCCCTCTATGGGATAGAACCTATATGGTCATGACACATGTCTTTATATTTATTACATGTGACACTATATACCTATGGTATAATTTTTGTGTACACCTCCTTTGGGAAGTGTTAACCTATGTGCCAGTGCTACAAAGACTTTAGACTTTAGTGGTCATTGTCTTTGCAGCACATCTATCCAGACCGGTCTTGGTGTCATTTTATATGGTTTTAGGTCTGTGTGTATTGTCTCATACTGAGGTGAAGGTAAACCAGGGCGATTGCCCATATGTCAAATATTTATATGTAATAAAGCATAATTTTTGGAAATTTTTCTGAGTATCACATTCTGTTCATAATGTAGCCGCTTTTCTGTGAATTCCTTTTCACAAACCCTTCTTTTTTGTATGCCTCTTTGGGCTACTGAATGGAAGCCATATATTGGGTGATACAGTAATTTATTTTGTAACCTCCAAAAAAACTATCTTTAGTCACTTTATTAGGTACACCTGTTCGATTGCTTGGTAACATAATTTGCTAATCAGCCAATCTCATGGCAGCAACTCAACACATTTAGGCATCTAGACTTGGTGAAGACGAGTTGCTGAAGTTCAAACCGAGCTTCAGAATGGGGAAGAAAGGGGATTTAAGTGACTTTGAATGTGGCATGGTTGTTTGGTTCCAGATGGGCTGGTCTGAGTATTTAAAAAACTGCTGATCTACTGGGATTTTCACGCACAACCATCTTTAGGGTTTACAGAGAATCGTCCGAAAAAGAGAAAATGTCCAGTGAGTGGCAGTTGTGTGGATGAAAATGCCTTGTTGATTTCAAAGGAGAATGGGCGACATTTAGATGGTATGGTCAGAATTTGGTGTAAACATGAAAGCATGGATCCATCCTGCCTTGTTTCATTGGTTCAGGCTGGTGATGTAATGATGATGTGGGGGATATTTTCTTGGTACTAGGAAGGGTGTACCTAATAAAGTAGCCAGTGAGTGTAGAAAGGGGAGACCTCATAGGAAGCATGTTTTATTCAGTGTTCACATACTAAGTGGGTGAACAGAAATGGTAACATGTCCTTGTCAACAATACCAGTAAAACATTTTTTGACAGTTGAGTGTTGATTGGTTCTTTGAATAATCCCAAAACAGGAATAAAATAACCTAGAGGTAATTATCCATTTTGTCCATTTTTATCCATTTATTTAAGGGGGAATCCTGATGACACAGCATGGTCTTTATAACTTACTTTAGCTTATGCTCAGATGAAGCGGTTCTTGTACCTGGCTATGCTCCAGTACCCTCTTCCTACCTCTTTCCACAACCTTCTTTCCCCCTCCCCCTCTTTATTTATCTGTTTTATTTATTTACTTTTTTTTTATGTTTCTTTCTCTTTTCTTTTTCCTTTCACTAACAATTCAGTAAGCGAGCTTTATAACTTTTTTTATTTTCTTTCATATTCTACATATTCTGTATTGAATTAACTTCAATTGCTTTTTAACCACCTCCTGCTTGCTGAAACCCTGCTGACAGCTGAAACATTAACACATGGTTGTCACTATTAAAATACCGCATGACTTGATTTATATAACTCATGCGGTATTTTAGTAGTGTTTACGTTTTTCTGACCTCTGGAATGGATTAATTGGTTTTCAATGCATTCCTATGGGAAATGGCGTTTCAGTTTACAAGTTTTTCGCTATACGAAAAGTCCCGTAGAACAAATTAAATTCATAAACCGAGGTGTGTGTTTGTATAATGTATGTGTGGTGTGTGTACTAATCATAATTATCCTTATATACTCAAATCTGCTTGAAAATTGCCTAAATAATCTCTAAATTACTAATAAAGCAGTTGATGTCCAATTCAATGTTAAGGCCCCCTGGTGGTAAAGATTGAAGCAGGTAATTCCTTTTAGTCTCCCTCTTGGAGAAGTCCCTCACTCTGTTGGATCTTCTCCAGGAGGGTGAGACCCAATCTACTCTCCAAAAAGTCAATTTAGGAGGATCTTTCCCATGATGCCGTGAGAAATGTTCTGAGACACTATGATAGCTGTATCCTATTTTTAATATATTCGGCTGTTCTTACTTTCAAGGGATGTTTGGTTCAGCCAATATAGATTAGCCCACATGGGCACTGTAACGTATACACCACATGTGTAGTGTCACGTGATTAACTCAGGGATAGTGAATTCACGTCCCACCCTTCCCGAAAAGAAAGATTCACGTTTAGTTACATTATTGGTTGCTGTGCGGCAAGCTCTACATTTTTTACATGCTACAAAGCCTTTCCTCTGAGGAAATAATGAGATTTTCCATGGGTGTCTAGAATCTTTTTAACAACTATCTCCCCAAAATTCCGTGCCCTTCTATACACAAATCTAGGTAAATTAGGCAAAACTGGTCCCAATGTTTTATCCATCAACAGTACACGCCAATGTTGCTGTATGATAAATTCAACTTCTCTATACTGGCAATGAAAAAAATCTGAGATGAAGTTCCATTGTTGCCTGTCATCTTTTCTTTGATTTTATGTATTAAATACATCTTTCTAGGTATCGATAAAACATCTCGCATAGTTTTATCTATCCTATACCTTACCTGCTTCAATCTTTTAACACCAGGGGGCCTTAACATTGAATTGGACATCAACTGCTTTATTAGTAATTTATTGATTATTCAGGCAAATTTCAAGCAGATTTGAGTATATAAGGATAATTGATTAGTGTGTATGTGTGTGTAATATATATATATATATATATATATATATATATATATATATATATATATATATATATATATGTATATATAATATCGACATATATCAGACTGGATGTCGCTCCATT